TGGCTGCGTTAGCAAAAAAAAGCTTTGCAACTGTTGTAAAATTTTTTAATATGATTCTTGTTTTTAGTTCTTTACTGAATCTAAATATCATTCGATTATTAATGAATCTTAGAACAGTTGCAAAATTACTTTTCCTGCTAAACGCAGCCAATGAAATTTTTAAACATTTTATAATATTAATTTTGAAATGCAATTTTGATGATTGTCGAAAAATAAAAGTATATTTTTTCTTTTTTCTTTATACTTCTATTTTATTTTACAAAACTAAATATGACAATTTTTAAGTTATGAGCTGCAATAAATAAGCCATGTTTTTTTTTATCATATCCTTTTTTATCGTTATTTTTGTAATTTTAGTGTCTATTGAGAAAATTATAATCGAAATGAACTAAAGGCAGAGCTGCAGTTAAATGGCGACAAGAGAAATATTTGCAAGAGATGTTGCAAGAGATGTTGCAAGAGAATGTTCCTTTGTTCACGCGCGTTGGTAACGCGCGTTAATCGTATGCGTAATGATTGCGAGACGATCTGTTAAAGCATAAGCGTACGAGCACAGTCACTTGATTAAATACGTCGAACGTGTTGCTATTGCTACCGTGTAGCCGCAAATACAGCTCTTAACATCTCGCAGATCGTTACAAAGGCGCGTACAAACGTCAACTGTCTCGACCAATTCGACCCATGTGAGAAGATGCATGAAAAGTGCATTGGTCCCGACGTGCAACGGTTAACGATTTTTCGATCTATTCCTGAAACATTAGCAAATTGATAGTCTTCATTAATCTCTTTCTTATAAATTTGGTTAAAGCATAGCCTGCATGATTACTTTCTAGCGACAAGAAGTGAAACTTTCGAGGACATGATTCAGTCATTAGCGGAAGCTACCGTTCGTTCTTTAGTAGCTAATAACTTAACGTAAACTTGATATCTTCATCTACTGCACTATTTCTTATTTTGATAATAGAAGCTTTTCAACGTAGAATATCAAAATTGAAATTATTGTCGAGTATAAAACAAATTTAGGCATATAGAAATAACTGTTTTCTTATAATAATTTTTCTCAAGAATCGTAAGAAAAAAAATATAGAAAATGAAACAGAACAGAAAGTGAGCTTTCTTTTTATTCTCAGTAATATACTCTAAAATTCACAAAATTGTGCATAATTACAGTTTATAAGATACATATATATCAGTGGATTATAGAAACAAGACTTAATTAATCAAATGAGGAGAAGCGCCAACTGCGATCAAAGTTATATAAATATTGAAATAATAATAATTCTATATATAATTTATTTTAGATATATTTAGTTCAGACATATGACTGCGATTACTTTCGGATTTGCAACACAATCAGATTGAAATAATAATAATCATCATTTTACAAATTAAAGATTGTCAATTTAAAGAACTCATTGCGAAGAATATTACCTTACAATAAGAATTAATAAATATGAATCGGATCGCGGAATAATTCCTTTCAAAGAGAATTAGAAAAAGCTAACCTATACTAGCGGGGAGGGAGGAGAAAATCGAGTAAAGTCGCGATAATCCAATTGGCGATGAACAAAAAGAGGAAAACGTAATGGCGAAATAGAAAAATATCGGGTAGCAGCGGAACAAAGTAAAGGAAGGTTTCGAAGAAAGATTAAAGAGAGGATTTTGTAAGTAGACGCAAGAATTTGCTCCTGGTCTGTCGGAATAGTTTCTCGGGGGCTTCTTAACGGGGGAAGGAGGATGATTTTGTCGGATTCTTGAGGTTTCAGTGCAATTATCTTGACTGGGCGTTAACGACAGTTCGTAAATCAGAATGGGATGGAACAGTAGTTATTTTATCGACGATGAGAGCGCGTGATGAGAGCCATCACTCGAACGTAGACTAAATTTTATCTTCAACCACGTAACAATATGTATTTAAAATAAATTATACATATGTGTATATTTTTTTATTCTCAACGAGTGAGAAGCTATTATTCTTCCGCGATTGCCTCTCTTGCGTTCTTATGTAAGAAATTTATCGCTCTTCTATCAAACATTCTATCGAACGTTGTTTTGTTCCTCTTTATACCCTTCTCAAGCAGCTGACATAAATTCTGATCGGTGGCAAGATGCCAACGGTAAGTTCAAAGATTGTACGATATATTTATACAATACTTGGGCATTTTATCCCAACCTCATTGTTATATCAACTGGGTTATAAGATTTTTCTAACTTTTTAGTATAGTTTTATCGATAAATTTCACATAATATTTATTAAATCATCCTCATTTATTAAATTACCGACATTTATAAAATTACAATACAAATAAATAAATGATACACAAAAAAAAAACACTCCAAAGTCGTTTTTTAAAGATGTCTTTGGAAATATGTCTTTATTATTCTAAAAGACGTTTTAAATATGTTAAAAAATATGTTAAATATGTTTAAAATTTTTATTAAATTATCTTTTGGAGCATATAAATTGTGTATGCTATCAACTGTAACATTTATTGATTGGAATGTATATGGCATAGTCAATTTAGATGTAATATAGCCTAAAAATGTTTACTCTCAGTTAACACACACACACATACACACACACACATCTGATATTCTAATATTTTTTATTATTTCGATCACGATGCAATTAATGCTTCGCTGCGATGGGTTACTATTTTGATATTTTGCAGGCATATCTGACTAAGCGCACGAATAAAAATATTTTTAAAAACCTATTAAATTTGTAGATTGAAAATTGATATTTGTAATAAATATCGGGCATTTCCAATTTTTCATAATATTAATTTATAAAATTCAATTTGTTTGACTTTATGTCTTTTTTTCTAACAAATACACTTTGGGTAATAGGAAAACTACGTTTTTATTAACGTTATTCTTATAAAACTCTGTTAATACAAAATTTTATGAACAAATGAATGAGGTTATTGAGCGTTAAGTTATATCTTCAATAGTTATTAAGAGATCCAATTGTTTATGGTAAAAGCTAGAATAAGTTTTTAAAAATTTGATTATTTTATATTAGTTTAGACTCCTTGCAGGTGATTAATAGGTATTTTAATAAAGAGTACTTGACAAGTGATTTCAATTTTTAAACAATTTTATGTTACTATAATATATATTTTATTGAAAAGTATTATGAGGAGACATTGGACTGCACATTCCATATTGTTTCGAGATTGAATTTGATAATATGTTTATTTTTCTTTTTCTTTTTAATTAATAATTAAGTTTTACGCATCTCGTTGACAAAATATTAAAACAACAAATGATTATAAAACGGAACATAAGAAATTGTATAGATATCATACGGTTTTTCCAACAATTTCATAAGACATCTTTTAAATCTTAAAATATCTGTAGATGACTTATTCTGCGTACGAGATGTCATCTTCGAAACAGAATTAGACATTGTCATCTAGATAAAGGAATAGACAACGCACTGAATCGTCTTTGTATACGTACGACAATTCTAGCTTCATACAAAATGCACGTGCAATTGTAGATCGACAAAGTGTTCGATGGTAGGACTCATCCGATGGAAACTCGTCGGATTTGAGGATCCAATGACGCTTTGTCATTAAAGTCATTACGTCATCCATCAATAGATAACTCCTAAGCCTGCTAGTCCGCAATTCAATGCCAACAAAGCCGCATTTACCGATTGTAGTAAGCCTCACAATAACGCTATGCAGAAACATTTGAATAGCAACAATGTCCCACTACGGTTTGTGGATAGGGTAGTCAATTTCCACGTTACCACATTACTTGACCTACATTTATTGGGTACAATTTTATTTTCTAGACTAATCAAGTTTCTTTGTTTCTAATTTTTTAATATTTAACAGTTACATTCATTAGTTCAACGTTAATTACTTTTTATTTATTTATCAATTTTATCAAGAAATTTAAAATGCCTATTACGGTCGAAGCTGGATCTTCTCATTGCTTTAAATAATTTAATCTTAAATTCCTAATATACACTATAACATATGTACTTGCATATATACCACATTGTAGTTTTTTCGAATTGCACGCCGAATTATTTTTCCGGACTTATAAATGAAATTAAAATTACTTTAGTAATCGCGAAAATAAATTGACAAGCAATTTTAATAATTTGACGCTATTTAGTAATTTGATCGTATTATATTTCTAATATCACATTTGTGGTATATATAATTAAAATCTATTCAAGTTAGAATAAAATGAAACTAACTTAATTAAAAATCTATATAATCTGTATTTACTCAGATAGCAGGAACAGATTTTGAACAGAGTCTGTTATATGATTTCTGATGTGTCAAAAAGGTACAAATTTCAAACAAAGATTTATTTGTATATTTAAGCTTTAATATAAGAAATATATTTAATTTATGAAAAAGTATTTAAAATTGTTTTCTGATGTCTGAGTCCTAGAATCGGCTTATTTTCTTTATTTTCCTCAATAAGCATAAGGAAAGGAATTAAAGGGTAGCACTTATATGCAATTTGTGATATTGATGTTTTTATTGCACTTAACAACGATAGCCTAGATAGATGCGTAGACTATAATAAAAATTATATTTTTCTTTTTATATACTGTTGCAATCAGAATTTTAGATCTAGAAGAATCAATAACAGCGAGCGCTCAATTGTTGAGTCTACTAAACGCAGTCAATAAAAAGGAACAAGATGGCGGAAGAACTCCAATTTCTCAAAGATTATAAACGTTGTAATTTAAGCATGATAAGCATGAATGACTACAATAGTATCATTGAAAATGAGACATATAATATCACTTTAATTGCGGATCTTGACTCAAAATACTCTACATTCATAGAAGAGAGAGGAGAAAAAAAGTTGTATAACGATAATAAAATCGAATCAATTTTTACAATATGCAATATTTTCAGCGTCAGAAAGGAGTTCTAATTACTCCGAAGCGGGAACGGATTACACGCGTTTTCGCGGTGACACATAACACCGGTCACCGGTCGGGAAAACAAAAGGCTGAAGTGATGGATGGGTTCCAGACGATTGAAGCGGCGTACCGGCTTTCTGTTTCAGGTGGCATGGCTGCGGGTGGACACGCAAACCATCCTGACGATAGCCAATCACGTGATAACGAAGAATCACAGAATCGGCGTCACGCACAGCGAGCACAAAACGTGGCTGCTACATATACGTGATGTCCGTGAGAGTGATCGAGGGAACTACATGTGTCAGATAAACACTGACCCGATGAAGAGTCAGATTGGTTATTTGGAGGTTGTAGGTTCGTCCATTGTGCCCCATGTGTCGAATTATCGTGGCAGAAATTCGGAGGCCGTACGTTACAATGAAAAAGAGGGAGAGAGAGAGAATCTTTATTTTTTTTTTTTTGTAAAATTTGTGTTCGTTTCGAAGGTTGAGCTCAACTATAGTAGGACACGGACGACTGGTGAAATCAAGTTCGCTTTTCGGCTTAGCCCGTGGCATCGCTTTTGAGGCCGGATACACTATATTCTATATACATATACATTGTAGTGCCTTTAAACTGCCAAACGATAGCGTATCGAAAATTGCTTCGCGGTATTTCGCGAAATGGAAGTTGGCATTCCAGAATTTCTCGTCGTCGATTCCCTTTCTCTCTTTTTCTCTCTGAACATTGCGCTCTCACGTATCATTTTTTTTATTTTTTTTTTTTTATGATTCCCAGGTATTTCCCCATTCTTGTATTATTTTTATAAAACAGCGCAATACGTGAATCGCTCGAACAAATGTATGTAACATCTCTGATCAAAATTTTCATCCGACAGTTCCGCCGGATATTTTGGATTATCCTACGAGTACAGATATGGTGGTGAGAGAGGGCAGTAACGTTTCGTTGCGTTGTGAAGCAACAGGGTCACCGACGCCAAACATCACCTGGAGGAGGGAAGACGGCGAGTTGATAAATCTTGGAAACAATCAGGAAGGTAAACTACTTATAAGTGTCTTATATGTAAGAAAGAAAGCTTAATGGTTCGCTAAAATAACTTACAATTAATGGTTCGAGCATTATCTTTAAAGTTTTCTTTAGCTGAATGGCTTTATATAATATATTCATAGTCAAATTTTTCTATTTATATATGTATGTGTGTGTGTGTGTGTGTGTGTGTGTGTGTGTGTGTGTGTGTGTGTGTGTGTGTGTAAAATAATTAAATATAGTTAAGTGTATGTACGTATCAATTAATTTTTTAATTAAATAATATGACTATGTATAATTTTTGTGGCATAAACATTATTTTGTTTGAAAAGATCTATGTAATAGCTTAAATAATAGTTTATATTATTTTTTAAATGTTTTAAATAATAATTTTATTTTTAGAATAAAACATTTTTTTTGCAGTTTTTATTGCAGTTTTGCCAAATATTTTACATATTTTTTTTGTAAAGTATTTGACAAATTCAATAGAATATAATAAAGTGTGTAATTTCTGTTAGTCAACATATGTTACAAAATTGCAATAAAATAGATACACTATTATTGAATCAAAAGAAAATTCATTTAAAACATTTTAAAAATAATTGATAATTTTTATTTAAATTATTATATAAATTTCTTTTTGAATAGAATAACTTTTATTAAAAAAAATTGTGCATATATACACTTAATTATTTTTTCAATAATAGATTAATAAAAAAATTTTATATATATGTATAAAATATATATATATTATATAAAATTTTATATAATACATGCATTGTTCTGTACTTCACGTAATTATATTTTTTTTCCTTTGGCAGATTTAACATACAATATATTAAATTAAAATACATAGTAATTTTTTGTATCAACTAGTTAAACCATTCAACTGCTCGCAATTTGTCGAATTCTTCGGTGTACGTGCGACAGAGTATTTTCCATAATTGGCGCACGTGAAGCACGTCAGATGGTGCAAAAATTCTCGACCATCCGACATCGATGTACTTATTTTATTCGTATCGCTCATCTTGAAAATTGCTGTAGGAAAAGCATCTAGCGTTCGCGTGCGCACAGCTGAAACACCGAATTCACTCAACGCGGGGACGACAATTTATCATTCCGCCTCTCGGACTTTATTCAGCCGACTACGTTGTGTGATGCAATTGCATTCGGATCTGCCGATGCGACCATGTCGGTGACGTCAAAGTGAAATATGCGTTTCAGCTCTTATGCGTCTCGCACAATAATACCAAGGAGAATCGACCGTCCTCGTTCGCACCTGTTCGTACAACGGTGACTTTATTCTATGGGTACAATAACAATTTATCACCCTTTTGTCTTTCAAACTTATTGAGCCGTCCCGCCTCTCCATGCAGTTCCGTTAAATATTTGCTCTCCTTTGTGTGCATTTTATGCACCTGTCCCCACGCGGAGAGCCCACGATAATTTATAAGGACGGGCGACGATTCTTTTACCCCGACACTTTTTTACAGTTTGACCTTGTTCTTTGTAGAGATGAATATGCTCGTTTTAACAACGTCATTTATATTTAACTAACATTCCATTTATGGAGCTTTCGTACTAATATTAATCTCTCTTTGCTTTAAATACAAAGAGAAATTTACACGAGAAATTTAGTTTATAATATACACTAAGAAAGTGATAAAATGATGAAATTGATTTTATTTTATTATTTTTTATTTTAATTTATTATCTGAACGAGTATATTGCTATTTACTATTTTAATGCTGGAGAGACATATGATGAATAAAAGAAAATCTTATCATAATCATGGTTTCTTTTTAAGTAAAATTAGTCTCATTATTTAATCACCGAATTATCAATTAATAACAGTTATTTATTATTCACATTGCTTTTATGATTAAGCAATTTATACGATCATCTCTTAATTTTTCATTCTGTTTTCGGATCGTGTTAATACTGTTTAAATACACCGCTACTCATATAATGATTCGCTTGACATGGATACAATATCTATTTATCATTCCTATTGTTTCCCAAAATTTATTGAACCGTCGTTTTGCATAATGTTGTTTTGCTGACAACGAAAACATTTATTTTACTACGCGTGCAGTTTATTCGTGTGCTTCATTTAATATCATCTGCCAACCGTTTCAAACGTCCTACTGTAGAAATTTATTGTCTCTTCGATTATATTCCATATTATTTCCAATACGACATATTTATTATCAAAGTTTATAATATACAGTTTGGAAATTTGTGATAAATTTAACATATTTTACGTGTTCCAAACGGTTTACCCAAATTTTTGTATTAATGTAACACAAGATGAATAGTTAGAAAGTAACACAAATATTGTAAGGTGTCTTAGGATTTAATGGACAAATTACGGGAATATAATCTATAAATGGAAATAAGAAAAAAAAAATGTTTTATGAAGTTTGGCTAGAAATGCTTTATTTACAAAGTATATAAATATTGAATCAGAACATGAAATAGGAAACAACGGATTTTCTTTTGTGCATAATATGGCATAGTGTATGTATATTTCATAGTATGTACATACGTACGAAGTAGTCGAACGGTGTTCATCTTATATATTCACATATTTACTATCTTAAAACGATTTCGTATTATTTTAACCTAAATGAATATGATATTTATTTGGTTGAAACCTGAAACAACGGTTATACTCACGGTAAAGAGTAAGTGTTAAACATTAGATTTTTATTGTCGTGAAATAATAATCGTCATTAAAATGTCAATGTTCCAAAATATTCCGTATTAATATATGTTTATAACTTTACAATAAAAAATTTCTAACCAAACTTTATATAATATTTTTTTTTATTTCTACTTATAGAGAATATATTCTTGCAGTTTGTTTTTTAAATACTAAGATATTCTGTATATGTATATAATATAAAAGAATATAAAGAATGTAACACTGATATTACTTGTAAGTAAATTGTGAAAGTATATTTCTTCAGTGAAATTAATATTTATAGTATGTTGAATTAACACACACACACACACACACACACACACACACACACACACACACACACACACACACACACACACACACACACACACACACACACATTTTATTCATTTATTCTAGAATTTACGTTTAAAATATATTGTTATGTTAATTGTTAATTTACTCGTAAATTGTGTTATTTTAACATTAAAAAATGTTGATTGTTAATTTAAATACCAGATATTTAAATTACAATCATATAATGTTAAATTAACACTTGAATATGTTATAAATTCAACACAAATTTTTAACAAAAGAATTAATATGCGTGTCTATTCGTCTGATCATGCATTTATTTCTACTGCATTCGTTTTTTTAAGAAGATTCATGCTCGTCTTCAGTATCGTGATAATCTTTTCATTTGCATGCGATTTTTCTCTTCTTTAACTTTCTCGATTTTTTAGTCAATAAGTAGTAAGTTTCTCTTTCGCAAGTTTCTTCCGTCTTCTTGTTTAACTTACGAACATGTTCAGCTTCTTTTGCGACCATGAAAACTCCCTCTTGAACTTCTCCATCGTTCCCCAGGTTTATTTCCATTTCAATCTTTACTCTATACTTGAACGCTTCCACCTCTTCTCATTTTTATTCCTTAAAGAATGGTCGATATTCTCTCTCGATTTTTCAAAGGTACTTCTAACGTGGACCTGCTCCTCTTTAATTCACAAATATGACTCCTTCTTTGCGCAACTTTTCTTATTTCTATTTTCTCTTTTCTATCTTTGTCCTTTCCTCCACTCCTTCTCGCTCCCGTGCTCGACTTTTTTTTAAAGTTCAGCTACTGTTACTGCCGCTCCATACTTTAATTAACGAATTCTTCCTTTTCCCTTCCTTTCCCGCGTACTTTCACGTCCGGCAGTCTCTACCTCGCGATTACCACGATTTCCCTCTTTTTTTCTACCCTCGAAAGTCTCTCCTTTTATCCTAGTCTTTTTCTCAGGCAATCGCGAACATTCACGACAAAATCCACCCTTCTCTCGGCGCGTGTCTCAACTTCTCGTATTTTGCCATCCTTTTTGAACCTACAAGTGCTTTCTGTTCTGCCAGCAACCACCTTTTTCGTTCATGAGTAAACGCCCACACACTCCTTCCGTCATTCTCTCACGCACTCGCTTTCCGTCACAGACGTTCTGTTCTCGTTCGCATGTATGCGTGAACAAAATCCCAAATAAACCGGCAAACCTATTTGCCGGAAACTGTCCGCAAATACTAGTACGAGAAATAAAGTTTCACCGGTTGCGGGCTAGTGCGAAGTTTCGGAGACCTTTGTGCTTGTCGATCGCCGTAGGATACTTTTCAGTCTGTACTTTGTCAGCTTTTCCCGAACTTGGCTAAAGCTGTTTCCAAGTGTCTGGTTGCACGCGCATCTTTATATAATTTATATACATCAAAAGAACGATTTTGCTCAAGTATCTAAAAATTTAAATAAATGCAGATTTGAAAATAATTTTATTTGATCATTAAAATAATTATGTAGGAAACTTGAATGTGATGAGCAATGGTGAAAAAGTTTTAACATTCTAGCAACCAGTTTGAGCTTTTTTTATATAATTATTTTAATAATTTAATAAAATTATTTTCAGATCTAATATATTTGCTAAATTCTTAGATACTTCAGCAAAACCGCTCTTTCTATGCGCCGATAAATATTTATTGGCACGAGAAACGGAAATTGTCGCGAGAAAATATGCGGCTGTCCAGAATTGCATTAGGACAGCTCATTATTACATCGTGAATTATTACAAATTTAATCCGCATATGCATTCATTATAGCGAGTTCATAAATAGGGACTATTCTCTTGAATTATTATTAATTACGCAGATACGATTCATACATAATGACTGTATAATCGATTTCATGTTGCCGAAGGTGACAATTTATATCTTCCGGTGTAATTCCGCAACTGATGCGGCGCAAGTACTGGAGATTGCGAAATATTCGGCGAATAGTAAACTGCGTTTTAATTACTTCATTAATTGAAAAAGCCGCGTTAGCTTAATTTCAAAATCTGGTACACAAGGAAGGCAAACGTAAAATCTATTAAACGTAATTGGCATTATTGGCTCTTTTTTTCTCTCTGTGCTTTTTTTGTCGCGACGACGTCGCGTCGTATAAATCGGCGCTCGTAACTAATTAACTAAAGAGCCCGCACGGCGCGCGGCAGCTCGACCGCTGCTTTACAGCTTATCTCGTATGCAGGTGATTTCAGGCCGAGTCAGCAGGCGTTTCAATAACATAAATCGCCTTGCACAGAGATTAAACGGCGAAGCCGACAAAGTCGTTCTTCAACGACTCGAAAATTCATTTTCCTCTGAAAATATCTCTTCAAGGGCCTTTTGATCTTACGTCGCGAAATAAATGTATATTTTATCCTGGAAATAAATTTCCTGATTTTCAGTATCATAGATACTGCAAATGCCGTGTATGCAGTGAGAAAAAAATGTTTGATATTTGTAACTTTATAGCCATGACTATAATTCATAGTCGGTTTTGGTATTTGTGATTTTATAATAATAATTAAATAATTTATAACTTAGTTGTAATTTATAGTCATTTTTGATATCGGATATGTACATCCTCGATAGCAAAAAAAAAGTCACAATAAAATTATGATGACTTGGTTGAGATGATAAATAAAATTATATTACTATATTATATATATTTATTATAACATTACAACAGCAATAACCATAAAAATGGAGTTCCTAACTAATAATTATTTTATCGTGAAATTGTAGTTATAAATACGAAACACTTTTCTTTCAGTCTGGAACAAATTGTTTAGAACAAATATGTAACTTTTTGCAAATTTAGTGCGACAGTTTATCTGGGTACATTTCGTGAGTCACACAGACACGGGAATGCAAGAATATGAAAGTTAAGAATAACAAGCGAGTTCTAAGCCCCGGATGTTCAGTACAAGTGGCTGCATCCATGGCGAAGAGAAACCGTATTCGGCTTACGTCTTAAAACTTAAGAAATGCAAGCGGACGAGTTGCGACGAAGAGGGCACGTCTCCCAGCAGTGCGATGTTTTAAGTTCTAAATTTTACGGCGAACGTTTTGTTCCCTACACGCTTGACTCTAATCTACATCCGTTAACTTCGCGGCTTACGAATCCTTCTGGTTTCCACAATGTCACGGTTTTTCACTGAAAACAGAAACATTCTGACTATCGTGAATAAAAAGTACGGTATGTTTAATTAACAAAGCCCAGCTGTGCATTTTCTCGAACGGTCTTTCCCTCCCTTTCGAAAAAAAGAACGATAAATTCATTGGTATGCGGTATTCGTACGCGTTTTGGTAAAAAAAAAAAAGATTTTTCATTAAATTGAATTTATTTCGAGATTATAGTAGCGTTGTTAAATTCAGCAATGGATTATAACTGCAGATATAAAAGCCGATCGTACTTTAAAGCTTATCTGGAAAGAATGGTTTTGTTGAAGTATCTAAAAATTTAACTACTCAGCTAGAGAATTTGTGTTGAATTTCGCATGTTTTTAAATAAATCATTCAGATTTTTGTGTTAATTTAACAC